TGATATTAGATGAAGCTCAAACCATAAAGAATCACAGAACTCAAGTGGCTAGAGCCTGCTGTGGTCTTCGAGCCAAAAGAAGATGGTGCTTATCAGGAACACCCATGCAGAATGCAATTGATGATCTTTACAGTTATTTCCGCTTCCTGAAGTATGACCCTTATTCTGTCTATAGTTCCTTCTGTGCTTCTATAAAATATCCGATATCTAAAAATACAAGCAGTGGATATAGAAAACTTCAGGCTGTTCTCAAAGCTGTACTTCTTCGACGCACAAAAGGTATTTTAAACATTTAAAATTTGTTTTCCCTGGCTAGCAACAAATTTGTTTGCCCTGCTTAATATTAACTGGAACTGATAGATCAGTAAAGCATGTTAGAAACTTTTTTGAATGCCTTACTATTGATTGCTCTGATTTGTTGGAAACATATTTGAGATATTTTGGGACAATTGAAGGTTTATTGTTTAGCTATTAGAAAATATGGCCATGTCCCATTCCAAATGGAAAAGACATAGAGATATTAATGTTTTTTGCATTTTCCTGAATATCTGCATGAACAAGTGCCCAGTTGCTGTGCTTAACTGTTTCAGGGTTAGTTTCTTTTATCCTTTCATATCATTTAGCTCTTAGGATGAACAGAGATAATTTGGTTCAATTAAACTTATTCTAAAATATTTGAATTCATCAGACTAATACGATTTAGTTGAAGGATTTAAGTTCCAGTGGCATGGCTGGTGTCAGTCATTGCCTTGCACCAAGAAATCTTCGTAAAAGACCAAAAGAAAAAATGTCTAGTGTTCAGTACTTTCCATGTGTCTTCTTCCGCTAGACAACCCTTGGGCGAAATCAAAGAAGAGGTGGTTGCACTGATGCCCCTCTTTCTGGGTATTGATAGCCAGTTGGTTCATTATGTTTAATTCAGTAGTAATGAAATTTACTGAAATTTCAATTCTTGGTTCAGGTGTTACAAAAGGTTAAGCAAGTGACCTGGGAATATGTGGTAGAAACTTTTAGTTCTGAGTGTGGTCTTGATGAATATGCTGAATTTTACGATGACCCTTAGCATCAATGTTTTTCATGGAATACAATTTGACATGTTCTCCAAGGTTGTGCTACATATCAATTTTGGTGCATTCTAGTCGTAAAATACCTGCATGTATTACATTTGTTTATAAGCAGCCAAATGTGTTTGAAGTTCTTGAGTAGGTAATACTCATCTTTATCTAAGTAGCATTCTGTACTCAGACATTTGAAAATTGCTTTTATATTGTTTTTATCTACTTTCTGGATAGTATGCCATATATATTATATTGCATCAGATTTAAAAAGGCGCTCGGGCGCTCGCCTATGCGCTCGGGCGAGGCGAGGTCCGAGCGCCTCACTTCACTTCCAGGCGGCGCGCTTCAAAGATACGTCGCCTGAGCGCTCGCCCGAGCCCAATTGCTGGGCGCTTCGGGCGAGCGCCTGGGTTAAACCAAGCGATCGAACCAGGATTTTAGGTCTGGTTCGGTCTCCGGTGCTTTAGTTGGTTCAATCGAACCAATTAAAACCGATATCAGCTGTCGCTGCCCAACCCTAACCCTGCTTGTTGTCGCTCCCGCTCCCGCTGCTACTACTTGCCGCTGCCGTTGCTCGCTGCCGTTATCGCCGCTCCCGCTGCTCGCTGCTGTCGCTGTCGCCGCTCCTGCTGCCACTGTCGCTGCCGCTCCCGCTGCCTCCTTACACTCCTACTGTTGCTGCCACTTCCTCTTTTCTCAGTCAACACCCCCTTACACTCCTTTTCCTTCTTCTCCTTCTGTATATTATTAACAGTATACTAATAATAGTATTTGTATTTATTAGATTAATAATATATTATTTTGATTTTAATACTGTTAATTTTTATTTATTTGAAATTATTGTTAGGTTTTAAGATAAATGGTAAATGTATAGAGCAACTCAATAGAGTCTCCAATGACATCAAAAAAAGATCCTGCATGGAAGTATAATTATCTGAAGGATCCGAAAGATCCTAATGCAGTGACTTGCATATTCTGCGATAAGACTACTAGAGGTGGTATTTTTGGTGCAAAACAACATCTAGTAGGAAATGAGTGCAAAAACATCAAGCTCGACTCCTGCTATTGTTGAAGACAGAGAATGAAACATATTTTGATGAAGGAGTCGAAGGACAAGAGGAAGAGGACGAATTCAATGAAGATGATTTGTGCAAAAATGACGATAATATTGATTATGATGAATGACTTTGATGTAGAATTTTATTGTTTTGAATTTTGAAACTTTTTGTTAATGTGATATTATGATTTTGTATCTTAGATTTTCTTAATTTAATAGCATATTTTTATTTAAAATTTTAAATAATTATATTTATTAATTATATTATATATTTTTATATTTTAGCGCCTCGCTTCGATATCCATGGAACCCATGGTTTTGCTCATAACCAAGATGACTTGTATATACATCCAGATGTAGTATATGTGTAGAAGTTGGACACTAGGTCCGATTTTAGACATTAAATCCTGATCTAAGGTTTTTGTACGAGTGAAAAATGTAGGAACAACTTCAAGTGCTAGCTCTTATTTTTCTTTTCTGTTATCAGATGCTGTATAGTTTTTGATGGTAATGTAATAATTAGATGCATAGTGTAATGATGGAACAGTGACCAATGATGCTAACTTTATGCTCAACACAAGATTCAACCAAGATGATACATTGATGCAAAAATATATTGTCAAAAGACACCTTTTCCTTTATAGGAGCAAATTTGGCTTATTGGGATACTTCGCAGAAGTAGTTAACCATAGAGGGTTAAAAAGTATATAGGCTTTTTGTGCCATCAAGATTTGTTTACAGAATTCTGTTGTACACGAAATCAAGTTTCGTCCAATTTTTGGAATGATATTGCAATCTTTTTGTGCTAAGTGTTCTTTAAGTTGAACATGTGTGCACAATCAAGTAATCATTCTGTTTTCTGTTATTTTGTGAATCATCTCTTTTATTCTTAGTGTTTATTATATGGTAATTGCCCCACTGGTTGTGTTTTATAGCTTTTCCATTAAATGTAAATCATGTTTTTCTTTGGTCGCCTTTGTTCTGTTTTGCTTATCTTTTTTGTTATAATCCTTTCAATGCAAAATGAGTGTGGATTATATTTTTTGCTATTCTTTGCCCAGAAGAATAAAAATAGTTGATTTAAGTATATTATTTTGTTTTGTACCACTGTGGCTTTTTGATATTGACCTACTGCCTAATGTTTCTGGTAGGAACACTTATTGACGGGGAGCCGATTCTCAAGTTACCTCCAAAATCAATTTGCCTGAAAAAGGTAGATTTTTCTCACGAGGAACGAGAATTTTATTTAAAGCTGGAGGCAGATTCACGCCAACAGTTCAAGGTGCTTACCATATAGAAAGTTGGGTTGTTTACTCAGTAGAAAAAGAGAATATGATTTGCTTTTGATGGTTGGATTATAATGCGAACTTCTAATTTGTAGACAAAAACAATGCTAGCTTTCTGCTGTGTTTGATGTGTTTTGGGAGCGTCTTTTATGCAAGTTAAGATCATATGGTTGAGTTAATTAATAATAAAGAGTGATGGCGTGTTGGTCCCCTTTTCGCGTGGCTGAAAATAAAATCTTTCTGTTCTGCTAAGTTGAGTCTTGAACCTGATAGTGAGAACAGTTAATAGTGAATATATCCCAAAAAACTCAGTTCACACACATAATTGACTTATATCAGTAATGTACTATGAAAATAAACTTGTCCTAATTTAAATCACAAGGACATCGTTAACTTCTATTTGTAAACATTTACAAATGATTGGTAAATTGTACATGCACCTGTTGTGCATGCTTCCATTTTTTTAACAAAGAGTAAAATCCAGATATTCATTCCTGTTTCATTGTAATTTGATTTTGGTTCTTGCCTTCTTGGCTTATTGAATATTATTGCTTAAGCACCTGTATTTTTTCTATATAATTGTAAGATGCTAAGTAACAGAAACTGTCTGGTGTCCTATAACTTTTAATGTTGTTTAGACTTTAGAGTGGGATACCAATCCCAAATCATACTAAACTGGTTTTAAATTTAACTGCTACAGATTTTGATTCTTCAACAACCATTAAAGGGGAATCTCCTTGTTTACTTTGTTATGCGGTAAATGCCCTTTGGAATCCAAATTCAAGTAATTTTAAATATAGAATTTTTACATGGTTAAAAAAGTTTTGACCAGTCTTGGTAGTTAATTTGAATACATACAAACTAATGAAACTGGAAGCAAATGATTGTTTGACTGCTTTGGGCCTGTAGATTTTTGAACTTTAAAGAAATTGACTTAGAGTCATTATAAAAATCACAATATAAGAAAGTTGTTTTATAGGTCATATTTTATTTTATTAATTAGAAATGTTTTTTGGTTAAAATCAAATAATTGGACTTATAATTACTTCTTAAAAAAGATATCTTATGACTCGATCTGATGAGGTAACTATCGTATTAACTTCATTGAGCCTGAACCACTAATCTAAAACACTCAAGCTAAAGTTAACAGTAGTACAACCGTCAAATCTTTGTCTCCCTTACTTAAGGGCTTGTTGTCCTTATCAAAACCCAACATAATTTAGATTCAGACCCTAGCATGGTGTATGTGAGACATAGCTTACTAGCAGTTACACATCCCAACGTGCCCTTTAATCCCAAACCCATAGATGGTACTTTCCTACTCAAACCTCTCACCATTCCCAAATATTGGATCGGTTCTGATACCAATTTTTATGATCCGATCTGGTGGAATAACTAGCCTATCAGCCTATTAGTTTCACT